ATATATATATATATATATATATATATATATATATATATATATATATATATATATATATATATATATATATATATCTGGAAGGATAAATGTGATATTGATTGAATGAAACTGAGAATTAAAAGAGAAAGAATAGATGAATAAAAGAAAAAAAAAGAAGCAAAAGGTGTTATGGTTTTTATTTTTTTATTTATTTAAATGTTCTTAAATTATTAGATTTTGAATATAAGACCTCCAAACCGTGTTACTCATTCGAAGGAATGAACAGAGAGGATGGTGGGGCGGGGGGGGGAACGCAGGCGGTGAGTTACCTGTGTGGCGAGGATGACGGCGTCACGGTGGAGGAAGAGGGTGAAGGAGCTGGTGAGGTTGAAGGGCCCGGTGAGCCACCGCCCGGCGGGGACGAAGAGCATCCCGCCGCCGTCGGAGGCGAACTGGCTGAGGTGCGTCACCGCAGCGGAGAACGCCTCCGTGTTGGAGGTGGCGCCGTCGCCAACCCCGCCGAAGTCCTCCAGGGACGCCGTGTGGGCCCGGCAGGCGGTGGCGGAGTACTTGAACGCCTCCACCGCCCCGCTGCCGTCGCCCTCGTCCTCCCCGTGGAAGCGGCTCGTCCTTCTGATGCACTCTGCCGGTCCGGTGTACGCCGCCATTAGAAGCAGCCATGTCGCCAGAATCTGGTTGCGAGAGAAGAACTCAGGGAGTAAGAAGAAAAATTAGATTCAACGAGTGAAATTTCTGGTTTCTCGAAGGATATAAATGCGAAAAACGGATCCTTCCGAAAAAAGAAAGAAAGATCTTTAAAGGAAATGCTTTTCGCGTAGATTTCATCCTGTATCGAACTCAAGAAGATGAAAGATCAAACGTCATGAGATAAATTTCCAGTTTTTCTCTGTGTACAGGGAAAAATGGTTCTTTTTAGGGGGGAAAAGGGATTTTTGAGGAGGTACTCCGGAAGGAGATGAACGAGAACGCAATGCACCAAAGTTGCTCCGCTTCTTCGCATCATCCTTCACACGAAGAATGGGAAGTTCTTCGGAGACATTACAGTGGCTTCGATCTAAGCCAGGCAAAAGAACAAGAACATGGCTAATTGCCGAATGGAGCGGTGAAAGAGGACGGCGATCCTGCCACAGAAAGAAAGAAAGACAGGGAGGGGTGGCAGTGGTGATGACAACGGCGGTACCTGCGGGAGCGAGATGCTTCTGCGCCTCTGCAACTCCATTTGCCGGAGGAGGACAGAGGAAAGATGAAGGAGACGGGCGCGGAAGTCGTCTTCCCCAGCAACCGCGCGCAGAAGGCAGCGACTGGGTTGGCAATGGAAGTAAGCGGCCAAATGGAGCACATTTATAGGCGATGTCTCATTTGGTGGTATCCACCACTAAACCCATCACAACAACACACTGCTCTCATCAACTCCTTTCTTTGGCTAAATTTCTTTCTGTGTTTCCACTCATAACAACATCTGCACCAAACACTCGTGCTCTCATGAACAGATTGCTGCAGTTTCCATGTCGTGTTGCCAAAAGAAAATACTGGATTTTCTTTTTTGAGGTATTTTCTAACGACTAATCTTTTGGGATTACTAATAATACTACTAAATAGCCAGTGAATATTATGGTTCTGCCTCTTCCGCATTTCATCGAACAGGTTATGATCAACCTACTCGACTCCCATGGGAGAAAACGACGGAAAGCATCACACGCTCGACGGTGAGGATTTCTGACACCGAGAGCGACCTCAGCCCGTGAGTAGCGTCTCCCCCGTCCGCAAGCGCGCCCGTGTCCCGCCCCGCTATGATTTAATTAGCATGGCTCCGACAAGGAGAGCACGAGGAGGCTCCACCCACCACTACGCCTCCCGCCTCACTCACATGCGCAGCACTCGCAGAAACCGCCCCACTCGAGAGCGGGCGACTGCGCAAAAGACGAGAGGTGAGGCAGCCAACCAAACAAAAGCACTTCGCACCTCCGACTCCCTCTTTTTGTTCGGTGCCGCCGCTCTTTGTCCTGCGCGTGAGCAAAGGGAGGAGCACTTCGTGATCTGTTAGTCATTAAAGCAAACAACTGATGCCTCTTTTTCTTCTATGCACGCTATCGCCATCTTCCATCTTATCTTGTAGGTGGGCAAAAAGACTGCGACTGTGGGTGCCGAGGTGGGAGTCATGTCACCATCCACAGGCTTAATCGCCCGCTCCATTGTCTTGAGCATTTGACTCTATCTCTCACGCGTTGCTTCCTTTGTTCGATTTGATGGCTGTTGTTTGTCTGGTATTTGTCGTTTGGATGTGCACATTCTCGAGAAGTTGAAGCAGACGCACATTGGGAATTGGAATGGTGGAGACAGTGAGCACAGTGGCCGAGCATTTAGTCGGATCGAAGCCGAGAAAATTGGGCCCAACGAAAGATCAAGAAATTAAATTTAAATTATCTGTGAAAAGATACCGCATGGGATTAATTTGGAAAATCGATAGAGATGTATAAAATTAAACCATTTTTATTGGAAATATTCCTTAAATAATTTCCCAATAACCTTTATGGTAAATGAAATATATCAAATTAAGATCAATCAAATATTACAAATATATATATATATATATATTCTAATTATGTCATCAATAAGAGAGAAATTATAGATAATGTTTGTTTTTTTAAGATTTTTTTTCTTTCTCGGATGATAAAGAAAAGAAAAGGATTTGGGTAAAAAAATATTATTTTAAAATTTTATCAATAATTTTAGCAAAGATTTGATATTTTTAGAATCCTTTCGATATCCATTAGCCTGGGAGTAGATGTTAACTTATTATTTATGTTTGAATTGGTGAGATTAGGAGTCACTTAGTAGGAGTGTTCTACTTTGTGTAATTATACATTTAGACTTATTATTCATGTTTGGATTTATTTTAAACAGATATGTTTAAATTTGCATTCGCATGTTAGATTTGGATATAAACATCGATTGGAAAGTAAATATATATGAAAATAAATCACATATATATATACATATTAAACAATTTAAATCACTAAATTTTAAGACATATTTCCATGTGGAAGCTAATAAATTCTAAAAATAATATTTAATAACTCATGTGTTAGTAATTCGAGACCATTAATTGGGTTATTGGAGATTAGGATGATTAATTACGCATTATTATCATTTAGCCGTTAGCTTATAATTATTTTCAATAAAAGAAAAAAAGAAGTTCACTTTCTCATATTTCAAATCTCTCTTTCTTGTTCTACATGAGATTATTTACATCATATGAGCCATTGATCTCCTAACCATCCTTAATTTGGACTCGAAACTATATTGAAGGATAGCCAACTCAAAAGACTCCCAAGTTCATAAATCTAGCCAGTAATCCATGAGGTTGGCAGCAAACATCCACATGCAAACAACCCTTCTCAATGCCGGGAAAGTAACTAGCCTACTGATTTAACAAAAGCAACCATTCGATCTACATTATTTGACATCACCCAGTAACAGGTCTCAAATTCTAAACGTAATGATCTTCCAAAAGACACATAAAATGATGATTTGATTGCACAAATTTGTTCATATTATCAATATGCAGTATCACATGTTCCAAAAACATAAGCCACAAATGTTCTATTGCTATTCACAAGACATCCACTTCAACAAAAGTAGGATTATTTTTCATGATTAAGGCACTGCTACTGTGTGGATTCCTCCCTCGGGACATGCTCCCACTCAAATGAAGGGTTTATATGTCCACCAGTAAGAGACCAGCTCCCCTGCTTGTATGTCATGTATGACTGAATCAGTGATCCATTTAAAGGGCCGGAGAACACCTCCCGGGTATTTTCATATTTTGAAGTATCTAAACCTGGCCTTATTTCGCTGTTGCTTGTTGCAGCAGGAGGAGGCTGCATGTCAAATCTGGTCTCCGAAAGTGAAAACCAAGGCCTAGGTTTGTGTGTGTCATACGGCTGCACGACACCCTCCACGAATCCCAAATCTGCAAGATTTATTCGGTCTTTCGTGCCAGAACTATCTGCAACATCTGGAGAACCAGGCGCATTTTCTTTTGCATCTGAGCATGTTCCGGTATCAGAGTCAACAAGTGTCCCTTGTTCCTCCATGCTTCTGTAATTAGAGCTGATAATCCGATCCTTGAGAACTTTGAATCGAACCATCACAGATGATTCGATATCCTCTGACTTGTTCAATTCATGGGTCGATGATGCTTCATGAGGAAGCTGGCAACTTCCTATTTCTTCACCATCCAAAGTGGGAGAAATGACACCCGACAAACTTCCTTTGGCCTTCAAAGGTGAATCATTCACCTGAAGATCATGTGCAGAAGGCAGGCTTGATGACATGCCTGACTGAACGGGCTTCACTAAAAATACAAAAATGATAAACATCATTATGAATGGAAAAGAGAGACGGTGGTGGATGATCAGAAAAGTTACAGAAAAGACCAAAAGCTTCGCCAATTTGTGGCTGGCGCTTACAGTTTTCTGATTCAATCTTCATTTGAGTAAGTTGAAGTTCATACTTCAATCTACACGTTGCAACTTCTGCTTCTATCCAGAGATTCTTATACAACAGTGTCCGTGCATCCCCTTCTCTTTCAGAGGGAATTTTTGATAAAGCATTCTCAATAGCCTACACATTTGTGAAATGCAGAAAAATGTAAAAGCTAATGATTAAATATAATCATTAGAAGACTATCTCAAATGCATCTAAATTTTACCTGGGTCATGCCATAGACTTTCCCGAGATTTGCATTGCAGCCCTCAACAAAATTGTCAAACTCACTATTAACATTATTGCACCCAACAGAATGTATCTTTCCCTGCATGTTGCACGTATGATCCATGTTGCTCTGATTTACATCATCAGCATCTAAACATCTATTGCAAGTCCAAGCAGCCTCTATACCCGAACAACGAGGAGTACAACCAACAGAACCCTGCAAAAGACCACCTATCATCAACTTAACAAGTTATTCATCATAAAAGGAAACAAAAACATCTTGGTGCAAAAACAAGGATGCCTATAGCACATGGATGGAATATGTGGTAATATGGACAAAAAAACATGAAATTAGATGCAGGCTAAATGACCAAAAATTACAAAATATCAGAATGTACAGGCAGACTAACAGAAGGATGAAAGAGATATTTAATATAATCTTACTGATTCTTCAATCAATATGGGTCAAGAAATTTTGGATACAAAGCATTCCATCGTGCATATGTACAGAAATTTAACCAAAAATTTAAGTGAACACAATTTTTATAAAAAGTGCTGAGAGATGAAAGATTAATTCATCCACTACTCTGTCACAAACCTATTGCCCATGTCATTCAACAACAAGCCTACTTCATAAAATTTTCAGTTATAGTGGAAGAAAATCATCAAAGTCTAAGCTGCAACTTAATCATTACCACAATCCAAATGCCTTATAAATACCAACAGAGAATATAATTAGTTGACCTCATCCTGCCTCCTAATCCATAGCCACTACCAACCATCCTTTGTCAGCCGTCACTACGACCAACAATCAAGACCATCACAAACATCCACATGATGACCTGAGCAGAACGACAGAAACTGGAAAGACATTTGAAAGATGAAGTAAAAGGTATGGAACATACTTCAAAACCCAAGATGATCATCCTTGTAAAAAGATACCGAGGTAAGTTACTTGCAGGATATCTTATGCCAGCAAATAGGTCTATTGTTTCTGCTGCAATTGAATCCAGGGCAATTATATGCTAACAAATTTCATAATAAAGCCCCAAGGATCAGAAAAGAAAATGATTAAATGGAACTAACCTTACAAACAAATAATAAAAGCAAAAAGAAGGTCTTTTTTGGCTCTCATATGCTTTCTCCTACATATGGCCTCTACTTTCAAGTACATTTGCAATTGTTATACTGAAGCTACAAGCTACCTTTACTTCCTTTTACAAATATACAATAAGCACATGATCTCTAAGTGAACAAAATGCATCTCATTTTTGGGACCAATGGAATTTATAGGGTATAGTAAGAAGCCCAATCAAATAGAGATTTTTCTTTCAGCCATCTTTCGAAATCCCTTTGGACAACCTGTTAGATGCTTTAATCTATTTCCATGGCTATTGCTGAATTCTAATACTCCCAGCTAAACAATGAAGAGATTGCATCAGATGCAATTTGCATCTGTTTCTACTAGCTGTACTTAATCGGACTGTGAAAAAGTCAATGTACCTTCTTGTCCTTGAGGACAAGTGCAATATTGTTAATCACAGAGTGAAGAAGCCTGTAGTCGTGTGGTTCCAGTTGATCATCACCCATGAAGTTGGTAGATAATAGTTTTATTGAAGAACTATGTATTGTCTTAACAAGCTCCTTTACATTTTCCAGTGGCGATGAACATGAGCCTGAAGGGAAAAAGAAACGAATGCATAATCCAAATATGCCACAAAAAGCAAAAAAGTTCTCTGGACAAAACTTTTGTTAAAAAATCAAATCAGCAGAACAAGAAACCATCGAATTGAGAAACAAGACCTTTGTTGTGATCATCAATACACTTTTCTGGTGATAATTTATTTACTGCAATACCTTCTGTTCCAACAACTCTTGCAGCACCGACATCTTGTACTTCAGAATCCCTTCTCTCGACTTCACTTGTTTTATTCATTTGTTCTTCAGGGGAATCATCGATCAGAACCCTGGTTCCATTGTCACCTTTTCTATAGTCAGACAACTTTTTGTTTGAATTTTCAGGCTTCTCATGTCTAGTTGATGATAAAACTGATGAGCACTGTGGCTTGTCAGAAATTGAACTTTGTTTCATTTCATTAAAAATCAAACTTCCAACTTGTTCTGCAGAATCTTTCGAGTTTCCAACACCCTCAAAAAGGTGCTTTCGATCTTGACATAGATCATCAAAGTTTTTTGACTCGTCAAGGGCTTTCTGAACAAGCATTTCTTCAACAGTAAATGGTGACTGCCAAAAGGTTGGAGCTCCTTTCCAACATGGCGAGTCAACGGCAAGGTTATGCTGATCAAGTGCTTCTAAAGAATTTTTCATGGATTTATCTGGCTCCACAGAATTGCACATAGATGGAGAAGCATCAGGAGTCACCAAATTTTCTAATCTCAACCCAGGATTCAACACCGCAGGATTAAAAGGACTTTCACTAGCTGTATTACTGCCAGAAGGAAATTCTTTTCCAGAATTCACAGGTGAGACAATACTCTTCATTATGTTGTAATCTTGTCCACTCTTCTCATCACAAGCCGCTTTGCTCCCAAGGTTTTGATCGAGGTTAGGCTCCTTTAGCTTAGAAGGTTTAATTACTGGATCATTGGTCTTATACGGTATTTCATGATGGACCATCGCACATGACGAAGTACAATTGAAGTTTGAACTAGTTCTTAAGTTTGATGGTGCAAATACTTGGCTCGGAGTTGGATATGTTGCAGCTGGGTAGAAAACCAGTGGATTCACAGAACATGAGTCAAGTTGTGCCATATATCTATCATAAGTGGAGTTTGGAACAGAAGTATCATGTAAATCCATCCTAGAGGTCGAGTCTGTTGTCCCAGAGCCGTGAATTTCTTCAAGTAAAGCACTTGGGGTTGAGAATGGAGCAGTACAAATGGTATAACAGGATGCCATATCTTGCTCATAGCTCTCTCGGTGCTTATCCTGTAGCCATTCGCAACTTTGAGACCCAAAATGTACTTCTCCAGTCAGTGAATTTCCATGCCAGACACCATAAGAATCATTGTCATAATAGTTATGGCCATCACCTGCAAGATGGCAAAATGTTAATCCAAGAAAATAATACATTAGTGCTATGCGTCATCTTTCAACTTTAAAGAACGTTATGAGATAGACATTATAGAACAAGTAAACATCTTCAAGTACAATATATTTGTTTACATAATAACGTGAATAGTCCAGACTGTCCACTTTGAAGAGAAAAAAACCTTAATGGGTACAAAATCTCAAGCTATGGCACATAAAATGTTACACACACACACACACACACACACACATAAAATAAAAAAGATTAATAGTAATACCATAGTAGGTTTAGAGTTTAAAGATGACAATATCTAAGAGCTACGATACATTTAATAGCTAGAAAGGAAAATTATTATATAAATGTTCTTTAAGTTTTATATTGTTTCTCTTAAGGTTTCAAATTCTGATCTGAGGCCCATACTGGTCCCTCGCTAGACCAGTAAAGGTCTGGTATGTGTGAGAGATATTCAGTAAATATATATAAGTTTTGACTAGGAATGAGTGGATGATAAATGAAAACATACTTTAGATATGAGTTACAAATTGTACATAAAGAAAAAATGTCTAGAAAAATCCTAACAAGATATATTGAATAAAAATTTAATGTCATATGACAAAATGATCACCTTAAATCCATGAGAGGTGACTCCAGATCCTTGATGTAACTTGATTGCAAATCAAGATTGTAATTCTAAACCACCCATGCATGAAACTGCTACTATAACATCTTTACCAATAAATAATATATTATTGATGGAACAATACGGTAATAGTCATTACCATAGCATCATTAATAGTCTGTGAGTAGTTGGCACTTAACACAAGAATGGTTACAGCAGGTACGGTATTAAAACATAAATAACTTTTTTTTCCAGAATTTACAATAGTAAAGTGCCAAAAAAAAATAATGATACTTTTTAGACTGCTTAGAAATTATTTACAATTTGGTAAAAGTGTAAGCCTTCAAGTTTACCTAAAAACATAGAATTTTAAAAGCTTAAAACAAAATTTTAACAGTTTAAAGTAATTTTTAATTTTAAATAAGAAAATAGTTTCGTTATTGGTGTACTTGTCTCACTTCCCTTACCCACCTGCCTTTTATTTGAAGGCATGGACCACATGTGGATACACATGGGTATTTGTTGCCTTTGATTACAAAGTAGTAGCTGAAAGGTAAGTCTCAAATAACAACCTTTAAGGCTTCTCTAAAACTGGATTCAAAACAGAAAGTTAAATGTTAAAAGCACCAGTTAAGAAGGCTGAGATGAACCAGCACAATTTTAGATGATCTACATAAATCCAGGATATGCTACCAGATCAACTGCTTGACTCACTTAAAGAAGCCTAAGCCAGTAAAACACTTACGGAATAGAGTTTTTGATTCTGTTCAGCATGACCACAGTACTGTATAGAGAAATCATTCGACCATTAAGTTAATACTAGAATTTTATTACTATATTATATTCCTCTTATCAAACAAAAAAAAATAACTCAGTTTAGAATCTTCAGTTAGTAAGATAGAAGATAGCTACAAAATGTTCTTAAGCGCCTATTATCTAGGAAGCATACTACAGTATCCACTCATTTCATTCATTTTGTTATGGCCACATCCCCAAGTGGTTCAAGTGCCACTTGTCTTTTTTTCACTATGGTTCCATCTTATTTGATCTTTCTCCACTTAAGAACTCTTAACCTAATTTGACTCATAATTTGTCTTCAGTTGGTGCAAGTAATGATACACTTCTACTATGCCTGATTATTTTCAATGATATTTATCATGTTATCAACAACCAGATCTGACCGTAAGTTACCATGACAACAATAATTTTTTTTATTGTTTCCCTTGTAATACTAGTTATCCATCTCAATCGGCACACCTTTGCAACACTAGCCTTTCATGCAACCAACATTCTAATCTGTAAAGCATGCCAGGTCTTCCAATCACCAAATATAGTGACTTCCAGGGTAAAAAATTGATTTCTTCCATTTTTTATTGATTTTCTTTTTCTTCCCCCTTGGGCAATGTATGAATTTAAAGTAAAAAATATAGATGTTGTAGTACAGAAACTTATGATTCTTAGAAATTGATTAAGACGGTCCAGCATCACCCTACTTCCTATAACTTCTTAGTTCACGACAGCATCGAAGTTTACAACTTTAACCAAGATCAGAATACAAATCAACTTCATCAAGAAAAAGGTACTAACTTAAGAACACAATTAAATCACCCAAACGCACAATTAAATAGCTCTAAACGATCCAAGTCGAATAATGGCAAATTCCAATTAAAAAAACACTAAATCACACTCTATAGAAAATAAATTAAAGAAAGATCCGTATTCATGGGAGAGAAAGAAAGAAATTACCTTCCTGGAAAGGTGGCATCTTGTACGCATCGGAATCCATTCCAAGCCCTACCTCCTCATCCGCCGGCCTGTTCCACGGGCCAGCCCCATCTCTCGAGTAGGCCGAAGAATGCCTGAATGAATCATCAAACGCCAACAGCTGCGAGTTAGAATAATAGTGGGAGTAGTAGGAATCACCGACGGAGCTCGGCTGGGAACGGATAGAGCCAGCGGCCGGGGAGGCGACGGTGCGGGAGGGCAATCGGGAGGCAGATGGCCGATCGGCAGCTGGAAAAGGCTGGGGCGGGAGAGGATGGTGGTGGGAGGACGACGGTGGGGAGGGAAAGACGTGGTCAAGAGAGAAAGGGGGAGCCAGCGGCGAGAGGGTGGACAACGACGAGGGATTCGGCGGTAGAGGCGGAGGACGAGACGGAGGGGAAGGAGGCGGCGGCGGCGGTCGGTGGTTGCGGTAAGAGGCACCGCCGGCACGTATCATCGCGGGGAGAGAGAGAGAGAGAGGAGGCCGAACCGACGGCTCAGGCAGGCAACGCAAGTGCAAGAAGAAGAAATAGGAATATATATATATATATGAGTGTGTTATCCTCAATTTTAAAATATATTATTTAAAATTTTTTGTTTATCTTTTTTATCAGTTTTTTAATTATTATAATATTTTTATTCGATTCATTTATAATATTTTCAATAGTGTTTAGGTTTAAAACCACAGTAAATATTATTTAAAAAATTAAATATTATTAGTGACATCATATTAAATTTTTATTTATCTTTATTAATATATCATTACGATGTTATATTTTTTGATCTGTAGTTGATTGAAGTTAGTAGTCAATTTATATTATTTATAGTGTTTTTAGTAGATTCTACAATGTTTTTATTATAGTAGTCAAAATATTATAAGAAATTATTTTTTACTTAGATAATTATTATTAAATTATTATAGATATTTATTAATTTTTAATATAGTATATCATTTTAGTATTTTTTTGATTTCATCATGTTCTCAAATAGGTTTTACATTGTTGTGATAGTCAAAACACTATAATAAGTGAAAAAGAACACTATCAAATAATAGAGGAAAATTTTTCTAAAGAGCAAGTTGGTTATTTTCCTTTGAGAAAAATCAAAATTAGTGGTGCCAATTGAGAATTACTCAAAATATAAGTATTTTATAAAAAAAAATAGTATATGTATAATTACTTAAAAATATTCTATTATTCAGGTTTTACCATAAAGTATCTTTTTTTAAAACCACAAAACCCACTTTTTTATTTTTCATAAAAAAGTTTTTTTTTTCCATCACTTTCCCCTCTTTAATTTTTTTATGGCTCCATTCGATAGACTTAAAAGTGGCATGAAACTAAAAATATAATCAACACAAAACATAAAAAAAAAAATGCAAGCAATAATTAAAAAAATTAATAATATAATTCAAAATGCATGAAAAATATAAAACCCAATTACATGTTGTTACACCCCACGTTTATTTGTAGTTCCCCATATTTAGTTTCACATCAAAATAGATAGACTTGAGTTAATTTATAGGTGATTTGATGAGTCAATTTAAGTGGGAAGAAAACACTATAATACCTCCATGTGAAGTAAGAAAAATGACCCTTTGTGCATGCACCCATAGGCTAAAAGGTGAATGATTCACTGATTTGTCTTTCTAATTGCAATAGGTAAATCTAAAAATTAGTTTTATAATTATTAGTTAAAAGAATAATCAAGTAGTAAATATAAATCAAATATACAACCTATCCCTCACAGAGAACGTTACTCAAAAATAGATGAACATAGGGGCCCTTTTTATGAATTTAACCTTACATATTTATAAATTATATTTTATCCCTCCAAATTTTCTATTTACATTACACGTATTTTCTGAAAATTTAGGTGTGCATCGCATGGGTATATACTCAAATATATATTTTTTAGAGGACTGAAATCGAAAATAGAACTTAGTGTGTACTTTTACATGGAGACCCCTGTAAGAAAATAAAATAGTTGCAACTGTAATTAATTGGCCCGTCGTCCTTTTATCCATCACACGTGCTTCGGCGTCAGTTCTCTTCCTTTGGAGTTCGTACATGAGCCAAAGCGGGTCCCACTGCATCAGCTCTACCGCCCGCTTCTCTTCCTGCGCTCACTCTCTCTACGCCTTCCGCGGCCCCTCCGAAGCTGATGGGATTCTAGGGCTCGGACCGTCGCCGTTGGAGATGGGCTGCTTCCACTCCAAGACCACCAACGTCCAGTCCCCCGACGACGAGTCCCTCGTCGCCGTCAAGACAGATCCACGTACGTTTCACCCCTTCGATATCTTGATCTTCTGCTGTGTGTGTGTATAGTTTGGTGATTTTGCTTTGTGGTGGATCTTGGTAGTCAATGGGGACACGAGGGAGCAGGACCAGGTGCCGGTGTTCAAGGAGTACGGGCTTGCTGAGCTGAGGGCGGCTACCAAAGGGTTCAGCCCCGAGACGATCGTTTCCGAGAGCGGCGAGAAGGCGCCGAACGTGGTGTACCGGGGGAAGCTCGAGGGGGGCCGGCTGGTGGCCGTGAAGAGGTTCTCGAAGCAGTCGTGGGCCGACGCCCAGCAGTTTGTGGTTGGATCTCTGCTCTTGTCCTTCAGATTCGATGCTTGGTGCTTGATCCGTTCGGGAGAGGTTTGGTTGTTAATGGGTTTAATGCTTGATGCTACTGGTGTAGGCGGAGGCGGCAGGCGTGGGGAAGTTGCGGCATAAAAGATTGGTGAACTTGATCGGATGCTGTGCAGTGGGTGATGAGAGGCTTCTAGTGTCGGAGTTCATGCCTAATGATACATTGTCCAAGCATCTCTTCCACTGTAAGATACTACTGGACTATAAAATTTTCAGTTGATTTGGTTTTTCTTTCTTTACATCACTTGATGTTGTTGAAATGCCTTTATAAGTAAAGCTGTTTTTTCTCCTTGCCTTATCGGTTATTTTTGTTAAATATGGATTATGTCAACTTAGATCCTCATAATCAAGGAGATATTGGCGTGTTGACTTGGCTTGTTCTATTTCAAGGATATTTTTATTGGAATAGAAGTATTAGATGCATTATGCAGGATGTGTTAATTATGGCTGTCCAATTTTGGAAGGACAATATAATAGAGACATGGAAGCTTTTAAAAGGAGATGAACAAGTGGAATGCCTGACACACCATACTGGAGGGAAATCCTCCTCTGTCGGCATGAACACCATAGAGACCATGACAGTCCTATGTAATCAGTATAATGAGTGACATTCGGTGGGAGCTGTAACATATCTATGCTTAACATACACAATCTGGAGGATTTTGGTGGAAGGTACAAGAAGTTTCATCTCTTTACACTTTTACAAAGTGCACAGTGACTTTGATGGGTCAAACTGGATCACGTAGAGTGAGAGACCAAATTGGGTTGATAGGAAGTTCATTGAAAGGGTCTTCAAACAGTTATGGGTTATGATGACTTGTATAGGGTGCACTACTGATTCCTGATGAAAGCTAGTTGAAAGTAGAACCAACAATGAAACAATCCAGTTAACTGGGCATATAACTGTCCTATGTCCATACTATCTACTTTATGTGGACAAAATTTTTTGCCCAGATTACGGACATATCACAATAGAAATTTCTGTAACAAGAAGCTCTGTCCGTCCAACACTTAAATTGGTCATTCAAACACCTTTTAACCCCTTGATTTCAATTTTTCTATTTTTGCCAAAAAGGTTACTTATGGCTGCCTCCATGATCATATATACCTTTTATTTTTTCTTATAACTTCAGTTTCATCCTTGTCTCTGCTCTTAATCTTTCGTAGACCGTAATTTTTCAACAGAATTCGCCATCTTCTCTTGCCTTGTTCTTTGGGTTCACTCAACTTATAATCACTTTCTCCTGTTCCACTATGTTTTAGATGGCCAAGGAGTCCACGAGATTGGAATTTATGTTGGCAGTAATTTTCATTGGTTGCTATCATGCAGTGGTTTTCTGAAAGGCTTTAGCAGAGTATTACAAACCTTTATCTCTTATGTAGTCTTTGACTTATGTTGATGCAAGCATTACTTTCTTAAACACCCTAAGAATGATTCAATGCCTTTTTGGTAGATCTGATGATCTGAGAAGTACTAGATTTGCTTGCCATATCTATCTTGGCCTCAGATTCATGATTAAGCTAAGGTTGTTTATTATTGACCAACCCCAACCAAGCTTTTGAGCCAATATTATAATTTTGATGAGCTTGCTTTTCAATCTGAACTCACTCGTAACCTTGGCCTTCTTTTGAGGTTCGAGCTCAGTCCATTAAGCTCATGAATGGCTTGATTTATTTGTGGCATGAGATATATCCTCATCGTTCTTTTTGTTAAGCATGACAAGATGGTGCATGTTTCCCAGTTTGAAATAAATTTATGTCTCATGTGTTCAGTGTTTCTTATCACTTCATTTGTGCTTCCAAACTAGTGAATGCTTGTAAGGGCATTACAGATGCAGTGTCCTTTTAACAATATATTGTGTATAACATGATTCATGTAGTCTGGAGTGATGAACAATAATGTGGAATGTGCTCCCTGATTAATTATCATCATTTCTGCTGTTGATCTTCTTCTGTTTTCGCCCAAGTTTGTTTTTCTTGTTGTCCTTGAAGGCTGGTCAAGTGCATGAGTTTGTTTCCTTGTTGATCTCTGTGATAAGAATCTTAGTCAATTTAATGGATTACCTTGTTGAGTTCTTCAATGGATAAAGATAGATAAAGTGTAGAGACAAGGTGCATTGCATGAGAAAGACGAGAAGCTAGTTAAATCTTGTTAATCTTTTTAATCATCTATTGCACAGTCATATTCTTGTGCTTAATTTCTCATCGACAAATAATGAGAATTATGTGTTTTTTGTCGTAGTTCAAGATGTCCTTTATTTTTCAATGTAGTTGGGAGCCTTGGTTGTGAATACATGTACCCATCCAACTTGCATATTCAGGTCTTTTCCCCCTCATATAGTGGTAGATCACTGAATAAGTGGACTAATAAGTAATAACCAATGGGGATGTAGCGTACATAACAACTTATGAATCAAACAGTCAAGGAACATGATTCACTTTTCCAGAGAATGAATGTTACTTTGAACTATAATCCAGATACGATAGTTTTATATCTTGTTTTAAAATTGAACCTTGAAGTTCCATAAAAATGTGTTAATTTTTCAACACCTTCCAAGTTTCTTTGTGCTTATTGGGCTGTGATACAATCTTTTGCTTCTTTTGGTGCACAATCAAGGCATAGAATCTTCTAACTTTCTGGTTTACTTTCACCGTTGTGCTCGATGACCTTCTTGAGTTTCCTATATAGATCTAAAATAACTTTTTTTATGTATTATTGAATTTCCACATTCAATCTAAACCCTGAGTAGCTTGTTACATATCCAAATTACAAATATTTATTTTGATGTCTTTGCCATCCTTGCATTAGCTACTTCTTACACTGCTTGTAATTAAGTCTTGCTAATTTACATATAATGACTAGTATATATTTTATCAGTTTCATTCAGATGCTAAGTTGATTTGCTAAGTCTATGAATCTAAGAGGGTATACAATGCTGGCAGGGGATAAGCACCCATTACCATGGCAGATGAGAGTGAGGGTGGCATACTACATTGCCCAAGCACTTGACCATTGTAATACTGAGAATCGGAGAATATATCATGATCTAAATGCTTATAGAGTTCTATTTGATGAGGTATACAAAATTTGAAGTTGTTTGAAATTGATGCTTTAATTTTCATGCATTTCATAATTACCGGTTGAAGTAGAGGATTATATTTACTTTTATTAACCATCATCTTTTTATATTTGTAATATTTCTAATAAATTTTTAATATGTTGGTTCTTTCTTTTTAGGTCTAATGGTTGTTCCTCATTTGTTGCAACTGCTAGAACAAATGTGCCTATAATTGCTTTAAGTCAATGTCCACTTAAATATGTGTGTACATAGTACATACTACATAGAAGTGGTAGGCTATTAATGTAGCATTTTTCAGATTTTTAATCTGCCTTCAATTATATAATCATGGATCCACCTCAGGCAGCTTGGCTTACGTCTCTTTTGGGCGATTTGCACAGATTTAATTTTTTTGTTAATCATAGTAACTGATCCTATTCTCTAAGGCTAACTTCATCTAGCTTTGCACCCAGGCATGCATGATTTATGGGTTTTATAGGCGTCGTGGCTTGGAAAGTTTGTCCACTTTTACACTGAGGAGAGTAAATAGAATAATAATCCCATAATATGAATGAGATATTGAAGCAGAAGATATATTCAAGCATGGTTCATACAGTTTGGTTTAGGTTTGGCTTGGTCTTTGGAATTAGTGTCATCATTGGTATTGGACTTATCTGGATCAGGATTGGATAATCTTGTTAACCATGATTCTGAAGAGAATATGTATCACGCTTCATGAAAGCCAAAGTAGCATTCAAGTGCACCTATAAGCTGTTGGAGAGAGATCAAGATTAAACGATGTTTGGTAGAAATTGGTAACATAATAGTCCTAGGTTTTGTAATTGCCCTTAATGTGATCAAGCAACCAGTGAAAATGTATCTCCTGGCTGACCTTGAATAATTTTGGGCGTAAAGGTTTGTTGTCATTGCTGCTATAGGTACTGTTCACATCTTGTACTCCAAATTCCTTCATTTGACATTCAAATGTCAGAGTCGGTTTTCAGTAACTGATAGAACTTATTTTGCTTAGGATCGCATGGATTCATGGTTAAAACAATTGCACCATTTTATATTATTTTCTGTCAATGCTTTAGAAGAAATTTTTTTTAGGTTTGTATTTAACCTGTTTCCTGCTTAGTTTTCATTAATTGTTAACTTGTTAATCTTTATTTTGAGTCAGGATGGGGATCCTCGCTTGTCTAGCTTCGGTCTAATTAAAAACAGCCGAGATGGAAAAAGTTACAGCACTAATCTTGCTTACACTCCACCAGAGTTCATGCGCACTGGTAGATTGATTTATTCAGATTACCATTTTTCGTGGTTGATTGTGGCTTGCACAGAAATTACCACGAGTTCTGGATTCAAACTATCTAGTATTAACCCATATATTGCAGGATCCTGTTTATTTAATTCACTTCTAAGGTTAATGCAAGCAAGCCTATATCTTTTGGTACATATGATGCATGATTTAGCTGTTGTGTAGTTTCTTATATAGGGCTTCTAAGTCAGACTTATTTTTGAAAGTAAAGTTTATGAGCTCAGAAAATTTGACCATGAGTTGTGACATTAGCATATGACAGATAAGCTTTTCTCAATTGTTTTGTCTTGTTTAACTGTTAATATAGTATCTGCCATTAAATAGTGAAATTTTAAAAGTGTGTTGAAGTTCTTGTGTACAACCATTTTGTGTTTACCAAATCTGCATTTTTTTTGTTGTAACAGAATTATTATTCCTGATCTCTGCTTTACAAAATGTTTATTGGGTGTTGCCTTTGCAAGGATTGCAATATCATGTGGGTGTGCCATTATATATCTAACACCTCGCTTTCTGGCTGGCACAAGCAACTACTAATCCTAGCCATATGTTAGCACCTCCAACCTGGGTTGAATTTATGTGGGCTAATAATTACATGGCACATTTGCTGGTGCTGATGTGCATGGCAATCCATGGGCCATGGTTTATCTTATCACAAGATTTATCTTCTGCTGTTTCTGTAGGATAACTCCAGCCAGCCAACTTTACGACTGGTCTTTTTTAGCGGAAATTTACAAAGTGAAAAATATCTGTAGGTTGCAAAGATACTCCAAAGTAACAAGCAAAGTGGTTGGTAAATAAAACCCGTTCAAGGGATCAAGATGCTATACATCCTGCCACAAGTTTTTTAAAAACAGAAACCCACAAGAAATTAGGGCATTGAAGAAACATAAAATTAGTACAAGAAATATGAGCTTTTCCAACTCAATCCACAACACTCTTACTAATATCAAATCAACCAATGGCAGACACTCTTCACATTAAATTTGACAGAAGCCTTGATATGCAAGGACTGGGTTAAACTAGCTTTTCTTAAATAAAACTTATTTTTGATGAATTTTTTACATGATTAGAGCCCTAAATTATTAGATATAGGTGAGTTTTGTCAATAAAACAAAGAATAATGAGTAAAAACATGTTTTAGATATGAATTGCACACAGTTTTTTAAGAAGACAGGTAGATACAAGTTCTAAACATGATATATTTGATCCAAAATTTGATGTCATATCTGAAATTATGGCTACTACCACCAAAATGGTTATCTTGAGTCCAGAGAGGTGGTTCAGTGTCCCTGATGTGACTCTATTGTGAATTATAGTGCGTCTGAAGGACTGGTAAGGATCAGGCTGTATCTACCAGTCGGCCCAGTATTTCCATCCTTGCTCTGGACATTGATAACATGTCCATTGAATTGGCCTCTTTGTTGGATTTATTTTGGTATGTTTGTATCTGATACGAAAATTTTAGTATATAATACTTTGGCTTAGTATGTCACAATAGTTTATCATTTTGCGAAGTCAAATATTTGGTTTTTGATCATTGTTTAATACTTTAATGATTTAATCTTCTTGATATTAGTTTGTGGTTATGCTAACTTCATCAGCTTTTTATAGGACTTTATGTGGATTTATGTATATGTGCAGGCAGGGTAATTCCAGAAAGTGTAACCTATAGTTATGGAACAGTTCTCTTGGATCTTTTGAGTGGGAAGCATATTCCTCCTAGTCATGTAAGTTTCAAGTTACCAGAGTTTGGTAGTTCTCATGTTCTTAGAAAAATTTTAATACATAGTTTCATGATAATATTGTTATTCTTTCATTATTTATTGTTACAAAGAGTGTAGACAAATGGGCACACTGAGCAACTTCATTCTCTATCTAGGTCCTGGAAAATATGCATGAAAACTTCTGGTGCACCTGATACATGTTGAGATTGGCCTTGCTTTTCTTTAGTTTAGTGCCAAGTTTTAATGTTTTTGTGAAGTCCGAAATTAATCTTAGAATCATCCCTGAAATCTTTATCTTGACGAATTAAAATTAGCTTATATTGTCCTTAATATTTACTGGTTCACAGCATGACAATCGTTTGCTTCTCTCGCTTCATGTTGTCATGATCAGGAACTAAAATTCTTTAAATATTGGTGCATTTTCAGTTTTGGTTCAGTGGTAATGAATTCTTATTAGATTGTTTTGGTAATGAACATTTATTCTGTTGGCACCTTTTGTTTGGTGTTCACATTCCGAAAGAAATCTATGTGCCACTGTAATCTTGTAATGATTATAAACATTCCATGTGAAGTTGCCTTGGTTGATCCCCTAATTTGAAATCAAGAAATGTTCAATTACATCTAACTTTTATAGGAAAAATGAGTAATTTGGTAACACTTGTTTTCTGATGGCACTTGCTAGGCTCTAGATCTTATAAGAGGAAAAAACATGTTACTTATAATGGATTCATCCTTGGAGGGGCAATATGCTAATGAAGATGCTACCAAGCTTGTTGAATTAGCCTCAACATGTCTACAGTTTGAGGCTAGAGATCGGCCCAATTCTAAGTCTCTTCTCTCTGCCTTGGAACCTCTGCAAAATCAGAAAGAGGTAAACTTTGAATGATTTTCTTGCATGCCCACTTTTTCCTTCATAGCTTTATGATTTGTGTAGATTCCAACTTTGTGATGATATAGGTGCCATCGCACGTATTAATGGGCATAACAAAAGCAACACAAGTACTACCAACAATGCTTGCTCCACTTGGAAAGGCTTGTGTAAATATGGACCTAACTGCTGTGCATGATTTATTGCTCAAGACAGGTTACAAGGATGAAGAAGGTGCAGAAAATGAGGTAAGTGCTGCTGCTTTTTGTTCCTTTATTTTTGTTATGCATATCACTAACTGATGCATATATGTATACATTTGTGTATATATGAGCATGCTGTAGATATGCATACTTTACCAATATCCAGTCCTGCACCTCGATTCAGATGTTTTGATACTTGGTACTAATATATGAATTGGTGATATTAATTGGCTACTAACATATTTGTCATTATATTTTAAGGTGCTCTTATTGACCTCTTATTTGATATGTATATAAATTTTCTTGTACATGAAAAAAGAAATTTAATATAGTAAAAGTCCACATCATTCATATTTGTGCTTTCCCATTTTCCATTACGATCTTTTCTGCCTGATGCCTATAAGACACTCTTTTATGTTCAAAAGTTGCGGGGCTTCAATTCAATAATTTTCTTGCAGTTACCTTATAGATTTCTTTTCAAAAATGGTATTTATTAGGTCGTGGTAATCTTACAGTGTATATGTTTTTGCCTTTCATTGTCAATAAAGCTTTCTTTTCAAGAATGGACTCAACGAGTGCAAGAGATGTTGAATACAAAGAAGTTTGGAGACATTGCATTTAGAGATAAAGATTTCAAAAGTGCTATTGAGTATTATTCTCAGGTTAGATTCTTCATCTGTGATGTTTTGCTCTTTAGGAACTATTTCATGAAATAGTTTAGTCTTCAATTTTGTGAAAGGTAGATTGTTTTATTTTTAAACCTGAATGAAAAATTCTGTTAATTGTCTGTGGTTATTTTTCTTATGTATTTGTTTATCCTTGTTGTTCTTTGCATGCACTTGGTTGGCCTCCATGCTGTTTGGTGTTGTATCCAATATAAATGTGAAGGCATTTGACACAAACAACTTTCATTGTCAGCCAATCTCAGATGTATTAATAACTGTTGAGACTTTCTTTCCCATAACCTCTATATTGTTTGATAAGTTTGATATGCAAAAATTAAATGAAAAGCAATAGGTTTCATCATCCAAAAATCTTCCATCGAAATGGGGGTTAACCATGTAGCACAAACTCAGAATAGAGAGTTCTTGAAATGATGTGATTAGATTTCGCAAATCACTGTCGATCCAGAATCAACTGTACGAAGTTGTTGCTGGATTCATAATCAAGTAGTCCATGCAACCAAGGAGATGACCTCTAAAGTAATGTTAGACCCAAAAAAAATCTGTAAGAAAGATGACAATCTAATATAACTCCGATCCTGCTTATGATGAGATTATTTAGCTTTTTGTCCTTCCATTGTTTGCCAAATAATCAATAATCATATTATATATTTTAATTCAGTTTTTACCTTGCTTTCAAGGTTATTATTTCCCGCCTATATTAATTCGAGAAATATTAAATGTTGAACCTTTGGATAGATACGTGTTCTCAATCATTGTAATTTCTGACATAGCTAGAAAACCATAGTCTGAATATTAGAACCATTTTCAGGATTGACTAGGAATGACAATTGGGATTAACATGACCAGGCGCTCAAGCAAGACAAAGTGAAACCGAAGCGCCAATGAGCCCTCGGTGAGGTGCCTTCGACTGGATGTTGCCTAAGTGAATAATATAATTTTGTGATTGAAGGCTCAACGGTATCTTCTATCTATTAAGGAAACTGAAAAATTGATAAGAGTCGAGCAACATGTATGATGAGTTTCAGGAATTCTCCTAATTCAACACTTTTATGATATAGTCCATATGTAGTTCATAGGTGAGCATGTTATCATTTTGCTATCATGTTATGCCTGTCACGATCCATGTATTATTCATTTGATTACTGTTTGATGACTTCTTTGATTATATGGATTAAGAGTTGCTTTTTGTCTGCCACAAAACCAGTTGGTGGCAATGATGTCAGTTCCATCAGCCACGGTTTTTGCTAGGCGGGGCCTGTCGTACTTGATGAATGGCCAACCAGAGCTTGCACTGAGAGACGCCATGCAAGCGCAGGTGTGTATGCCCGAATGGCCAGTAGCCTTCTACTTGCAAGCTCTATCCCTATCGAAACTTGGAATGGAAACCGATGCCCAGGACATGCTCAATGACGGGGTCGCCTTGGAACTCAAGAGGCAGAGCAGCTGGCGAGGCTAGATGACATGGATTCAACCCTCGTGGGTCTCCTTGCAGTTCTACATGTTTATCTTCAGTAGTCAAGAGAAGGAGAGTAGTAACTTGATAGAGGCTATTGGTGAGAAAGTGGAGCTGCGGCCTCCAACAGTGGATGTGGATGTGGATGCTGAGAAGGGAACCAGCCGATTTATTGTACAGGATCTCGAGGGAAAGAATGATTAGTTATAGTGAAGTTCCATAAACAATGCATTAGAATCTTCATTTATGGTCGTATTGATGTTCTGCTTGTAATCATAACAAAGGTGGGATATGTAGCATGGATATGAGAATCTATGAATCTCCACTGGGACAAGTACAAAAATTAACTGAACTTAATATTTGGACCATGGTGGTCAGATATTGCATTTTTGAAGGGCAGTAAAAAATGTAATCTGCACTGTATGGATATATGAGAAAATATTTTATTTCCAATTTGAGGTGTACAACCAAAAAAAACCTGCGGGAGCAGAATTTTCAATCAAAAATCACTTTTAAAAAGGTAGTAAAGAATAAATAACAAAACAGTAATCTGAATCTTTATTCATCAACTCCTACGCAAAGAAGTTTAGTCAGACTTTGGACATCCTCTTCGATAACATACATTCAGCTGCATCAAAATCTCATTTTGACTCTAAAATCTACAAAACCTGAAAACTGGAGGATATTTAAATTCTAAATATTAAATTTTCAAGAGTATATTTTGTATTTTTCAATTTTTTAAATCAATAGTAATATATAATCATAATTATCTGAATTTTTTTGGATGCAGCTTAAATGGGTTTATGCGGAAGATTATAATTTTTGAGGACAAATAAATACTACATTATAGTTTGTACGGACTAATAGTTGCTGCCAAATTTGCAACGGCATATATTTAAAGTCATCACAAACCGTTAAAAGTTGCTTTAATTGTCACGCTACTCCCCGATTACACAAAGATACGTTTAAAATGGTCAACCTTGAGAACTGCCGCAGACCTCGCCGTCACCAACCAAACCATTCAATCCTTCTCCTCATCGATTGACCCATCATAATCAGTGAGAAGCCGGCTCGATCGATCGAGTTTTGCGCCTAATTCTCTGCTTTGTCTCACCATCTCCATCCTCAGGTACGATGACCTCGATTCCTCTTTTCCTAATTTGTTTTCCCCGATTTGAGTTAGCTCAAGGATCTGAACCTGAACCCGTCAGAAGTTCAATTATCTCAGCATATTATAATTTCAAGCATCTCGTCATGCAACAAGAGGGTTCCTCTCGTCGTCTGGTGTGTGTGTGTGTGTGGATGCTTAGGTATAATCGATTTCTATATGAGTTACTATATTGAGTTGAAAGGAAATTCAAAGAAGATGAAACCTTCGTGCATCCTCCTGGTGTGGTAGTCAAGTACTTGAGTAAATAGTCAACTCTTCTAGTGAAACTTGGACGATGGCTTCGTGGATTGGTCGGTTTGTTATGAAGATAATGGTTTTGCGAAAGACAAAGACGATTGAATCTGTTGGTGTTGCTAGGATATAAATTCAGTATTATGTGTTTTTGCACTCATGGATATATATAACCTGGTGTTTCTTGAGGGAGAGTTGTCACATATCAGTGATGTGCTAGTGTGCCACAAAATTGATGATTGTCCAAATGATCCTTTTTTTAGCAGCCCAATGATTATTTTTTAAGATCTAGAGAAAAGTATAGCATGGCCTATATATATATATATATATATATATATATATATATATATACATATATGTATGTATGTATGTATGTATATGTATGTGTGTGTGTGTGTGCGCGCGCGCCCCGACCAATATAAATGGATCAGACAGATGCTTTTCTTATCCCCCTATGCTCAAATTCGCTAAATATCAGTGTTTGAAATAGGAATTGAAGCAGCAGATCCTTTAGCACTTTATTGGTGTGGAAGAAAAATAGGTCAGTAAGTAAAACATTTAAGTCAGTGGTTCCAACTTGTCTAGGAGCCTTTTTCCACTAAACTAAAGTCTATCTTCATTTTTTGGTGATATGTGGAAACTAATATTTGTAGTTCATCCTGAAATTTTTTGACTCTCTTGCATATTAGATTTTATTTTCTTTTGCTAGTTACAGAGTGGATGATGGATCCCCCACCTATGGGCACCACTGCAGAGGTATTTGAGCCTAGACTGTTGAAGCCCGGTTTTACGAAATGTGTATTTCTCATGTGTTAATGTAGGGCTCCCTAAGAAATGAGACAAATCCACATGTTTATCTATTGATACTTGATATACTAAAGTGATTTTATTAGAGAACAAAACATGCATATAATTAGCGATTCAAATTTGATCACACCAGCTGGTACACTTTTTGAATCTTTTTAACCAAACTTCATATTGGGCCCATATTGTGAAAGTTCAAAAGATTTAACAGAAATAACAGTGTTGAATTTTGGCAGATTAATCGAGACTTGATAATGGATAACATGTCATCAGAGAAGGAGATTTCTCTAGAATTTGTACGGGAATCGCTAATGGCGATCTCACAGTGTCTACCAGATATCGTTACATCAGATGGGTCTCCTGTTAAGCCAGCAGCAGTTGCTGCTGATGCTTGTGTTGACCAAAATGATGGTACTGGAGCAGATGATTATATGTCTAAACTGATGTCAATCTCTTACATGCAGTCACCAGATGTGAAACCTTCACTGCCATCAGTGGAAAATCCTGGTTCATAGGAAGGATGGATCTCTTGCTTGATGTACTTTGTACTTTTTATGTTGAAGAAGTTCTTATGTAAAATTGTATTAAGTGGTTCTGGAATCCAACTTTGCAAACTGAAACCAGAAAACTAGTAACTATGCCAAACATGTACTTTTATTACTTATTCTGGTGTTCAATAAATGCTATGTTCCCCTCTCTCTTCATAAACCCTTTAATATTTATTGTGTAAAGATGCACAATTCTATAAGATGCCTGAGCCTTTATTGGCATTTCATATCATTTCTTTGAATTTGATCTTTTAATACCACAATTTTCACTGTTATTGTCGATTTCTATGTACATCTTCCAATCTGTGGGTCGAAGACTTGGTTAATTACATTTTTAGTTGTTGATTCTCTCTTATGCTTAATATTTGATCGTCAAATAGGATGGTATGAGTCCCACACGTTTCATACTGGATCACTCGATCCAGTATATGACTACCCACTGGAACAATTATAACTGGATTGAATGCTAATCTAGGATTGCCTCTTCCATGAGGTGAGAGTTCTTTGCATGGTTGTGGACCTCAAATGTAGAGATACATGAAGATTAATCATCTTGTACTCATGAGCCTGCATGCAGAAGGAACATCAGTATGTTATGGGAACGTGGTATTTTTTTTTTGTTGGGCATTCTCGAAACTTATTGTTAGATTTTATTTTATTAAAAAAACTCAAAGTCTTCAATATTTTTATTTTTCATTTTTCAAGCTTTTTATTTTTGTACTTGTTCTCCTATTTTAATGGCCAACAGGGGGTTTCTCACTGCAATTTTGGGTCAATTAGATTCTTAGTGTTCTATCTTCTCATGTTGATTAACAGATCTAAGGCAAGTGGATCAAACAAAAACCTTGAAGATGATCTGCCATGGTGGTGGAGGGAGAAAGAAGGAAGAAGTCAAGAACATTTCATGGTTAAATAATGTGCATACTTTATGGACATGTTGGCTTGGGCAGTTGCATCTGCTCTTGAAATAAAAGAAAACTTCATTCTCTAGCAATCTCCAGATTGTAGACACTATACTAATCACTATTACATTTACTTGAGAGTGATTTGGATCGTTCGTCCTAGGTGGATGACATGTATGAAAATGCAGTGTGCTCTTGAAAAGATTGTGATGAATCCTATTGAGTTGGATAGATCAAGTTGAATGGGTCCCAAGTGAATTACAAGATGAGCACACCAGACTTGTCAGTATTCAGAATTTATCTTCTCTGTTTAATATGTTTACAGATGATGCTACTAACTTCATCAGCTCTAAGGGATACCATTAGTGTTTCTTTTTTCTTTTTAGGAAGGAAAAGAAAAAAAAAGATGCCCCAACCAAACCCAACTTAAGCTAAAATAGATCTCACTCATCCTTTTATGTTGGTTCAACCAAATGTACCACAAGCCTAACTGTAGTTCTGTTGACTTCCGAAATAACCTTTGCAAGTAAAGATCTTTCGTCGTCTTCGTCGTCGTCGTCGTCGTCATCATCATATATGTATACAATTGTACTTTTTCAGACCTTGCTTCAAGAGTAAGAGCTTCTAAACTTCTTTGCATTTTCTTCTTCAGAGATAGCTTGCTTTCTCTGCCAAAGACTTCATTGGATGAACATTCTCTTGTACAAGCAACATACAACACAAAGAATTCAGCTCAAACTATAAATAGTTTTGCTGAGTCCTTAACATTTTGCTTGGGATGCTGAAATGGTCATGTCTTCATTTGAGTTTAGGATGCTTTGATGCTCCAAAGAAACCTACAGCATGGGAAATAAGAACCATGATAAAGGATTCAACTACAACCAAATCTGGATGATGCTTTTGTCTTCCTTTTTGTTTTGAGGGAAAAGGCCAGCCAAGAATGTGGACAGAATAATATATTGCTGTAGAAGAATTGAATTTAATAAACTTAGTACTCACTCTTCTGATCAATTCAAGTAATCAACAATAGACTTTTCCTTCTGGCATTAGACTTGAATGAATGATAATTAAATGTTTCCTTTCTGAAGAAGGCTTGAATTATTAAAACCAGCACACTTCTGATCAGTTCAACTGCCTTGTCCTTTGTTTTACCAGTTCTATCAAGGACAGAAGGAGAGACACCTCACAGGCTTTCTTGAGAGAGGCAATGGTGATAGAGGTGGAAAAGGCTTCTTAAAACTGGAATGTACCATTTCAAGACAAAGGGTGGTCCAAGAATAAATGATGCTGAAGAGGAAGAACATTATGAGGGAGTTATTGCTTGTAGAGTTAACTTGATAGGCCTAAATAAAATGACAGTCAACAGGCTATATTTCATCACAAACAGCTGCCAGACCTGAATGCAGCTCCATTGATGGCATGGTTGATGATGGCAGTGAAGAGATTTGAGAGGAACACACTTAAGCTTCCAAGTTCAACAGTTGATGACCATCTGAACCTGATCCGGGAGCTGAGGCAAGTCTTCCAACAACTAAGAATACATCAAGTGAGAGTTGGAAACAGGTGACCCTTTTTTTTCTACAGTGAAACCTACTTTTGCTCCACTGCATTGCATGAAAACCTATATTTACTGTAGATGGAGACCAGTTTATTGCATTGTACAAGTGGCCTGCTCATCATGTTGCTTTCTTTG